ATGGTGATTTGGTGGTAGTTGTGCACAGTAGGATGGTGGTGGTAGGAAGTGGGGAGGTAATTCAATGGGGGTGGTGGCAATACAAGGAGAAGAAGAATGGGGGTGGGTTGTCTTCCATGGAAAAGGGGGTAAGAGTCTGTCCAAGCAGGAAAAGAAAGAGAGGAAAGTGGCATTATGGTCATTTTGATCTTGCCATAATGGGGTTAGGTGTGCGTTCTAGACTTCTGGTCCAAGGGGTGGCTGAAGTTCAAAAGGGGTAAGGGAGTAACAAGAAGTTTGCCCTTGATATTATTGTCACAATAAAACAAAAATAATAAAAATTTCTAAAGATAAAAGCAATATTGTTGTTCTAAAGCAAGACCATTCCTGCAATTTGGTCAAATTGATCTTTTTGTCATGGGCAAGTTAAGTGTTTGGTGTCAACAACAATTAAATGAGAAAGTGAACCAACTAAGCCTAGAATAGCCATTTACTGATCAAGTTCTCATTTCCTAAACTTTGGCTGTTGGGACTGTAAATTGACTAGAACACTCAAGAATCTCATTTGAACAACTCCTAGAATATTGAAGATAATAGCAAAAAGAGAAAAAAAATGGCAACAACAACTATCATAGCTTTGGACTTTAATACCTATAGAGCCAATAATTTTGAAAGTGACACATTTCTTATACTTCCTAATATTCAATTTTCTATCAGAATGTACTTCTTTCTTACACATATTCACAATTTGAAAACAAATCTTCGTCTTTAAACACAACAGGTCATAAACATAGAAAAGAGACCCTGAAATTTAAAAAAAAAAAAACTAGAAATAAATGCAAGATAAAACGTATGAATTATTCAAAGCTTGAGATGTAATGAGGTTAAAGTATATCAATTCTAGCCCATGGTTCTTTCTCTTGGTACTAAATCGATTTCCAAATGTTCTATCTAATGTAACACAAATCTTTGTATTATAGGGGTTTGTTAAAGTATAAATAGTTAAATTACACCCTCACTAACAGTTTAAACTTTTGAAGCAGGTGATGTTTTAATATGAAACCTAGCTCAAATAGCTAGGCCCTTCATGTTCTAATCAAAGGCGTGAGTAAAACCTCATAAGGAAAATGCCATCATTCATATTGGAAAATAATGTACAACTTGGGAGTTTTGGGAAGTCCTACATAAGAGTAGGACAGGTCCCTCATACATATTTGAAATAGCATAAAAAGCACACAAATAAGACGCGCAGATATTTGTAAAATCATATTGATGCAATGATGAATCGCAGGCATAAAATAGAAGTTAAGTTTGAATTACAATCTTAAATTCCCGAGTTTTAAGGAAATCACTACGATAAGACATTGACTGAATTGAAGCCTTCTAAAACACTATGAATCACACTTTTAAGGTATTGACAATATAGTGTACATCAACATCTATAACATAGAAGGCGAAATTTAAAGCAAAAATGAGCAAATTGAGACATCTAACTGCATATTGCTGCGCAATGGCAATACCCAAAAAATATATATATATTTGAAGCTTCCAATGGTAGATAAGTTGAAATGATTGCAGAAAATAAAAAAAATTGAGCTCAGGAAAACGGAAGGTCAGTAGTAGAAAGTGAGAAGAATTTTAGGATAATTGTATACCGATCGAGTCTCGTAGAGCCTGAATTTCTGCATATAGCTATGAGGTGAAGTTGCGGGATAAGGAGGAGGGGATGGTTGTTGTTCACCTTCGGTGGTCCCAGAGCAGGGTAGCGACTGGTTCCCTAACGCCGATGCCATTGCCAGATCCCGATGCCCGAGCCTCAGGCTCGGGAATCAATCACACCGGCATTCAACAATCACTCAATTTTTTAAATACAATGACAATTCTACCGGGGTCGGCGACCTATAATGCAGCACATCACCATATCCAAGCAAGGTTGTTTCAGATATAGCATTTTTCTCCTCTCGAATCCCCCTTTTGACTTGACTTTGTTATTCCCACAATTCCTTCCCTTCCGTTCACAATCAACAATCCCTAATTTATTATACAGAGACACACGAGTATATGTATGTTCCTGCGTATAGAAATGCTTGAATTATTGAAAATAGCTGCTGATCTTTGATCAAAACAATAAGAAAATAACAAGGTTTGGAGGAACAGGGAAAAAAATAACACCGTGAGAGAAAATAGAAAGCTAAATTAACAGGATGAAATTATTCAGTACAAGATGAAAGTAGAAAAATACATATACTTGATACACGGAAATGGGAATCTAATTGAATAGAGAAAAGATCGAATAGACGAGGAACAAAATTTGTTTGGGAGGGGGTGGTTTAAAGGAAAGAGAGAGATACAGAAGAAATAGGGCAAGAGCTATATTTTCTCCGATGCTGATGATGATGGTGATTATGATGTTTTTCTGCTTCTGTTTATTACAGATGTGAGAGAGAGAGAGAGAGAGTTGAGAACTTGAGATCCGCAAAAGGCAAAATAGAAACCACAGCTTATTAGGTGGTCGCACCTTGCACACATAAAATTGTTATATATATATATATATATATATTCTAATAAAAAAAGAAAATCAGAAACCGAATATTTGAAAATTTGATCCTATTTCCTTCCAATTCGCTGACCTCCTCCTTTCTCTATTTTTTTTTGTTTAAAAAAAAATTATTTTTTGGACAATCCAATGTGCCAATAATTAGAGGTAAGCTCCGCGTAATTTTTGGTTTTCATTTTTTAAGTAAGAATAATGATAAGGCTCAACTCAAGGCCAAGGGAACTCTCTATACTTGCGTAATTGGACGTAATATTATTATTATTATTATATTAGTTATGTTTTGTTAGAAACAGTCAGAAAAATTATTTATAATCAATTATTAAAACGTGTTTCCTATTCTGATTGAATATTGACCATTTTTTCTATTTGGTATTTTTTTTTCCGTTTTTCAACAAAAAAACAAAGATGCACATGTTAAGGAGGTCAATGCTAATTCTAGGCTGGAACTAGATCTACAAATATACATACCCCTTTCAACTTGCACGCAATCATTGGGAGATAAATACATTTTTGTATAGTTTAACAACTATCACACCATCATGTCATGTGTTGTGCACATTGAATAATAGTCTCTCACAAAATAACTTATCAGACTCATAAGTTAAAAATAAATATNACACCATCATGTCATGTGTTGTGCACATTGAATAATAGTCTCTCACAAAATAACTTATCAGACTCATAAGTTAAAAATAAATATATATATATATATATATCTGAAAATCTGATAAGATAATAAATCATAATGATTAATTAAACATATATTGAATTATTTTTTTACAATTTACATTGTTTTCTTCAGATTGGGTTTGGAATATTTAGAGGGCATTTTTACAATCATCATGACATATCAAATCATGTTAAATAAACTGTAAACTTTTTTGTATGAAATACCTTTTGAGGTCGTAAAATATAATTTATTATGAGTTCATCAGTCCATAAAACAAAAGATTATTAACATAAAATGAAATGTCATCACTACTAATAATTGTTTGTATCTTAAGGTACAAAATAAAAAAAAATTAATATATTATGCTAAAAAT